ACTAAATATAGGAAACAACTAAGCCACTGTTTAAATAGGCATTGTGTTTCCTTTTTCCTTGAAAATCCTCATTTTTTAAAAGAATTTCAGCTTTGAAGTCTTCTTGCCCCACTACGATTTAGCATGTATGTAGTGCATGACCCACACATGCATAGGTATTAGGGGAGTAGAAAAGATATAAAGATAAAATAATACTAACCACTAAAATTAAAAAGACATGTAGTTGCATTCTGGGTCTTGATGGTTTTTTCATTTTGCTTGATTTTTTTTCTTCCTTGTGGATTTCAACAGCTAGTTTAGGAGGCAAGATCTTAGCTGGGCTGACGACTGGAGGAGTGTCTGTGTTCATTGGCCAACCCACAGAGGTCGCGAAGGTCAGACTTCAGGCGCAGAGCCATCTCTATGGTCCGAAACCTCGCTACACTGGGACTTACAATGCTTACAGAATTATAGTAACAACTGAAGGCTTGTCGGGCCTTTGGAAAGGTAACTAATTCCCAGGTGGATTTTTAAAATCATTAAAACACACATATCCAATTAGCACCTTATCATATAAGGGAGCTATTAAACATTTTCTTTTTTATCTCCTCAGGAACTACTCCTAATTTGGCAAGAAATGTCACCATCAATTGTACAGAGCTAGTAGCGTACGACATAATGAAGGACACCCTTGTGAAAAATGAAATCCTTGCAGGTAACCTCCCATGTGACGTAACAAACAGGACTGCACATTTACAATTTCATCTTGGAGCTTCTCTTGCCACATTCTACTGAATCCCTTAATTGTAATAGTTTGAAGTACTTTTGAACACACATATATATAACTTTTGAGGAGCAGAAAAAGACTAAAGCTCTAAGTTTTAAAAGTTTCATTGCAACAAATTTTTGCAGTGAAACCAAAATGCAACTATATTCTTATGTCAGCATTACTCTCATTTAATACAAATGGGACTTTTGTTAGCATTTTATTCTTTATATAGCAGGACTCGGGCAGTGAGTTCATTCTGCACTGTATCCAAATAAGCTAGTTACATGAGTTTATCAGCAGTTTCATCCAAATGTAGAGCCATCAAATAGGTTCCTAAAGTTAATATTCTAACAGGTTCTCAAGACATTGAGATTCTCCTTGGACAATGACTTTAATAAACAAGTATCTGATGCCTGTGTACCAGGCATTATGCCAGACCCTAAAGGCACAGAGAAAACTGACAGGATATTTTCCTAAAACACAATCCACTATGATATGCATGTACTATTTGCCACTGTTTTCCATTATAAGTATAATCTTCTTTATTGTATTTATTTGTAAGGCGTCCTGTGTTGACTTCCAGGTTTACAGTGATCTGATAACTCAATACTAGTAGCCCCTCCCTAAAGTCTGATGTTGACCTGTTCCATTGATCCATTTTAGATGACCTACCCTGCCACTTTATGTCGGCTGTTTTCGCTGGGTTTTGTGCAACGCTTCTATCTTCGCCAATGGATGTAGTGAAAACCAGATTTGTAAATTCCACACCAGGACAGTACAAGAGTGCGCACAATTGCGCAATGACAATGTTCATTAAGGAAGGACCATCAGCTTTTTTCAAGGGGTAGGTTATGATCTTCCGTATCTATAATGATGTGCTTAGGCTATCTACGCACTTCGGGACACTGTCTCAGCTAAACAATTGATGTAGCTGAGCAGACATAGTCTACTATGCAGTATAATTAGTGTTTCCTTTTCCTTGCCATAGACTTCTCTCATCTACCAATTCCACTGTGCAGGAAAATTAAAATTAATTTTCTCAACCTTGATCAGAGGCTTATTCGACATAAGTAATTGGTCCCAATCTATTAGAAATGTATAGACAGTATTTTGCCTTCTCTGGGAAGAACTACAAAGCAAAGGAAAAGCATAATAGAGGACTTTGAGAAAACAGTATTTGCTTTTTTCAATTTAATGGACTGTGGTTTAGATTGTATTAAAGCAAAACTAGAGAAAAATCACTGTCATTGATCTAGAAAAGTGATGCAAAACACTCACATAGAAATGTATTGTACAGTGGAGCACATTTCTATAAAGCAATATTATATTATATTGGAAATGACCTTCCTAAGAAAATATATTATCAACTAATTTATGGATATATTGAACAAGGATTATACCAGTGGTAAAATAACAAAATTCTATAACCCTTAAATATTGTAAGGCAATGTCTTAAACCTAATAAGATAAACATAAATTCACTATACACACTATACAAAAGGTTCCACTTCACCATGATGTTTATGATACATTAATACAAATGAAATACATTATAAAATTAACTTTAAATGGATATGCCAGTTATTCACATCAGCCATTAAACAATAATTTTTTCAAATTTAAAACCTTTTGGGGGACTACATGTTACAACAAGGATGAATCCTGAAAATGTAATGCTAAATAAAATGAGTTAGACACAGAAAGACAAATATTATATGATTCTACTTATCTGGGGTACCTACAGTAGTCAAATTTATAGAGACAGAAAGTGGAATATAGTTACCTGGAGCTGAGAGGAATATAGAGTGGGGAGCTATATTTCTTTTGTCCTCACCCAAGAACGGTTTCCTCTCATCTGCTCCTTCACTGGGGATTGAACCCACAGCCTAGGTATGTGCCCTGGTCTGGAATGGAACTTGCGAACCTTTGGTGCACAGGATGATGCTCCAACTGAGCCACACTGGCCAGGGCAATGAGCTACTACTTTTCAATGGGTTCAGAGTTTCTGTTTGGGTTGACAAAAAAGTTGTGGAGATGGATAATGATGATGGTTGCATACAAAGTGAATGTATTTACTGCTACTGAATCATACACTTAAAATGGTTAATAAATTTGTTAAGCATACTTTATACCTTAATTAAAACACATATACACACATCCAAGAGTCAGGAGAAATATATTAAGAGACCTCTCCAAAAATCTTTGGGGATGATATCTGTAGGCCAGATCACTTAAAAAATATTCTAGCTCTTTGTTTGGGTTAGTTTCATTTGTTTGTTTTTATTGATTTCAGAGAGGAAGGGAGAGAGAGTAACATCAATGATGAGAGAGAATCATTGATTGGCTGTGTCCTGCACATCTTACTAGGGATCAAAACCTGCAACCCGGGCATGTGTTCTGACCAGGAATCAAACCCATGGGCTTCTGGTTCATAGGCTGATGCTCAACCATTAAGCCACACTTTTTAAAAAATTTATTCAAGGCAGATTTAACTGATGACATCTTCTCTTGGAATATTTCATTGCTGCAAACAGGCATTCAAAATGAATGATTTGTTCTGCACAGTTTGGCAGAATTCTTAAAAAAGAGCAACAACCAAAAAAGAAAAACCAAAAAAAAAAAAAAAAAACAAACCCCTAGACATGGGGCAATCTCTCTAAGGATAAGAATTGCCAAAATCTACACAGCACTAATTTCTCGACTCTAGAAAATGGTCTTTGCTTCCTCCTATTTCATTTTTTAATCGTTTCCTAATAACAAAACAAAAATTTCCCCTCCCCTCCGAAAAGAAGGAAAGGCTATGAAAAAGGAGGAGACAAGCTTTGGTTTGGTGGGAATGTATTTATATAGCTGTTTTGAAGCAGTATAGGTGAAAAAATAGATGACACTTTATTTTAGGCAGCAGATAAAGAACAGGTACTTTTAACTTACTTCATTTTTTAATCGTTTCCTAATAACAAAACAAAAATTTCCCCTCCCCTCCGAAAAGAAGGAAAGGCTATGAAAAAGGAGGAGACAAGCTTTGGTTTGGTGGGAATGTATTTATATAGCTGTTTTGAAGCAGTATAGGTGAAAAAATAGATGACACTTTATTTTAGGCAGCAGATAAAGAACAGGTACTTTTAAGCATCTTCATTTGAGAAGAGTGGCAACATGAAAAGCAAAAGCTGCCTGTATTGTAATAGCTTTGAGAATGTCAAGAAACTAACACACCAGTGACGTGCACTTTTCCAGGTTACTACCTTCCTTCTTGCGACTGGCATCCTGGAACGTCATTATGTACGTGTGCTTTGAGAAGCTGAAACGAGAGTTGATGAAGTCAGGACAGCCCGCGGACGGCGCCACATGAGCGTCTTCAGGAAAAGGCTGGGACATACCAGTGGGAGCCTTTGCCAACTGGATGATTAAAAAACGAGCAAAAAACTATTCCCATTATTTCAGCCTAAAAAGATAAAAGAATTCTGGTAGAGTAGAAAATTGTCAACTATCCCCCCCGCCCCCCAAATGAAAACTAATACCTTTTCTTTCTTGTGACTTTTATTCTGTTTTAAGGAGGGGAAAGCAAGACATTCAGGACTCACTCTGGCAAATGTAATGTCCAGATAAGTTACTGCATTTGATTTACCATTTTGTGTGTGTGTGCGTGTGTGTGCATGGAGAAGGGAGGTGGTTTATGATTGAATATGAGAAACTTGAACATCTTAATTATAATTCAAACTGATGAAAAAGGGACATTGAGTGAAGTGTCCTTTATATTTATAAATACTTAAAAATGAGCAGTTACAAAAGAAAATATTACTGTTTTCTTTTTATATACTAACCCAGTTGTCAGTGAATATATTCAATAAAGTATTGCTAATACCTTTTAAAGTTTGTCTTTTTTGGTCTATAGTGCATGTAAGAGTTGAAGTTCCCTACAATATTTGTGTAGAGCAACATTCCATACGAAGGTCTATAGAATCAAGAGGCACACACTTACCTTGTTATTAGTAGAGTTTTAAAAATTTGTCTATGTTTTATGACATCTATAACAAGTTCTACGTAAGACATTATATCCATTTGGGCATTGTTGTTATTAGAATCATGGCATCTTTCCTAGAATCACAGAATTTTAGAGCTATGAGGTAACTTTGGTTAGACAGAGCAGCAGACTCAGGCAAAAATGAATCTTCAGGGCCTCTTCCCAGCAAAGCCAAGTTTGTCATTAAAACCTGTAGTAACCTTTTTCATGCCTACACACTGAATGCAAAAGAAGTAGGGAAAGAATAAACGAGATTAAAAGAAGTATGAGAGCCAACTCCTTTAGCTTGTTCTTGTCTGGGAAGCTTTTTATCTGTCCTTCGATTCTAAATGATAGCTTTTCCAGGCAGAGTAACCTTGATTTTCAACATTTTGAATATTTCTTGCCAATCCCTTCTGGTCTACAAAATTTCTGTTGAGAAATCAGCTGACAGTCTTATGGGAGCTCCCATGGAGGTAACTAACCACTTTTCTCTGGCTGGTTTTAAGATTCTCTCTTTGTCTTTAACCCTTGGCATTTTAATTATGATGTGTCTTGGTGTGGGCCTCTTTGGGTTCATCTTGTTTGGGAATCTGTGTGCTTCCTGGACTTGTACATCTATTTCCTTCACCAAGTTAGGGAAGTTTTCTATCATTTTTTTCAAGCAGTTTTTCAATTTCTTGCTCTCTCTCTTCTCCTTCTGGCACCCCCATGATGTGAATGTTGGTAAAACAAGGAATGGCAGCAGAAGAACCAGGAAGCCCAAATTGTTCTTATCCAATAACTTCTTTTCTTTTTTTTTTTTAAATTAAATCTTTATTGTTCAGGTTACATTTGTTCCTCTTTTTTTCCCCCCCATAACTCCCCTCCTCCCAGTTCCCGCCCCTGTGCCCGCAACCCAGGTACATGCCCTTGACCGGAATCGAACCTGGGACCCTTGCGTCCACAGGCCGACGCTCTATCCACTGAGCCAAACCGGTTTCGGCTCAAGCAGTTTTTCAATTATTTGCTCTCTCTCTTCTCCTTCTGGCACCCCCATGATGTGAATGTTGGTAAAACAAGGAATGGCAGCAGAAGAGCCAGGAAGCCCAAATTGTTCTTATCCAGTAACTTCTTAAACAGGTAATTAGCAGATGAGTTAAAGTCACAAAAAAAGAATTCTGTGTATTCTGATTTACTCTACAAAAACATGGTTAAAGGATTAAATAACCATGTTTCCTTTATGTTGCAGCAACATAAATGACTTCAATAAGAGATGGGAGGATGGGAAGAGAGCAGAAGTATTAACATCAAGGCTTACAATAGTTTCAACATGTTTTTTTATTTGCTCACAACATTCCAAACACAATGACATCATATTTCAACTATTGCTTTTACATAGAAATCAGTTGCTTTACCCAAAGTAAACAAAAATCTATTTTTTTATATTGTCAACTAGTACTTTTTCCTGCAGGGGAAGCCAGTGCTTAAATATTTGTTGGATACTTTAACAGAAAAATGAAATTGCCTTATCATAATATTGTAGTACTTGGGTCTTACCTGTACTACATTTAAAATTTCTCTTGTCAAAAGTTGAAGCCAGGAAAAATAAAGTTCACTTATGATTTTTTCCTCCCAGATTTTTAACAAAACTCCGTTAATTTTCATGATGAAAAAAAATGCAGATGTGGAGAGGTTCATAAATATGAAAATGGATATTAAGCCTCCTCAGTTTGTTCATGGAGAAGGTGGGTGGACAATTTATCCCAAGGAAATAGCTGCTTCACTAATTCAAGAAGGATAATAAGAACTATTGCTCTCCAAGCCAAACCTCTTCTCTTCAGTGCCATGACAGCATGTAATCTTTCCTGCTCTGGCCACGAGTGTTCACTTTTCACACTCATGTAATGGGCAATCTTTGAGCAAGTTCTACCTCACTGAACACCAAGGGAAGAAATGTACATAAACCACTGTGAACATTGGAATAAGAATGAATAATACATATGTTTTCACATAGAAAAATACATACAAATTCAAGTAGCTCTTAAAACAGAAAAATTCAGGATGGACCTTCTCAATAAAAGGATGGGTTTTTAAACTGTAAATGGTGCCAGTAAGACATTGATTTTTCTATCTAACTATATCACATTTAATACAAAAAAAGGTTGGTCTTGGTTCACAGATATCCCCTGATTTCTCCCATTTTTTAAAGATTGTCTTTCAGAATATATCTGAACTACAACCACTTAATTATTTTTTTAGACTATCTTGTCACTGGCACACTCTCTTCAATCTAGCACATATAACAATTCATTTCAACATTGATTCACTTTACTCATGCTAAAACAATCATAATTTTCCTGCTACTTCAGTTCTATAACTACCTTGGTAGTTATGATTATAGAAACGGGAAAGGTTCTCAACATGGATTTCAAGACTACATAAAATTCTAACATAACATATGTGGACAGCAAGGAAAAGGAGGAAGGCAGACACAATTATCCCATTTCTCTCTTCATCTATGTCGCTCTCACCTAAAAGCCAGAAGGCACATGTCACACTCTAATTTACAACCAGTGACACTCAGCTTGGCTTCCAGACTGTCAAACCTAAGAATCTGTGGGGGGCTTAGACCAGCTCAATATAGAGCTATCTGAAATGGTTACTCATTAGCTTAAGCAAAAAAAGAACAATATCTATGCTATACAAATAGAAGTGGATTTAAAGAACATAATATTGAGGAAACTTGCTAATGACATTTATAAAAATACTATGAAAAATATTTCTTTCTCCCTAGAAAGGAAAGAACTTAAATTACTTAAAAAGTTTCTCCTTTCATACTTGAGTCATTCTTTTATTAAGATACCGACAAAGATTTAAATCAAAAGAACAATATCTATGCTATACAAAGAGAAGTGGATTTAAAGAACATAATATTGAGGAAACTTGCTAATGACATTTATAAAAATACTATGAAAAATATTTCTTTCTCCCTAGAAAGGAAAGAACTTAAATTACTTAAAAAGTTTCTCCTTTCATACTTGAGTCATTCTTTTATTAAGATACCGACAAAGATTTAAATCAGTTCAAGATCTCAGCTGTTGAAAGATTAAAATATAAAGGTAAGTATTTTCAACATGAAAATTCAAAGACTAACAGAATTGCTTTCCATGTAATAGTAAACCCTGTGATAAAAGGAAGTTTAATGGTTAACACTTGATCCTTATCGGGATTTTGCTACAACTAGAACTCTAGTTGGATGATAAAGCATTAAAAATATATTTAAAAAATCAAGTTAAGATATTCACAAGAAACCAATTTTTAAACTCCTGTAATACTGAATAGCTAAACTGCCATGATTATAATAAAATGAATGCAATTTTAAAACATTTTATCTTGTTGAGAAAATCTTAATTGTAATGCATGTACTTTTAATGTGCTATACCAGCAGTCGCCAACCTTTCGGACCTCACAGACCACCAGTGGTCCGCGGACCACCGGTTGGTGACCACTGCTCCAAAGGTTTCCTTACACCACCACATCTGTTATTTTCCAATCGAATATTTTTACCACTCTTCTCTTTGGCAAGTTTGAAGAGAGGTTTGTTAATAAGCATGAACAATACTTGAAAGTCTCAGGTCTTGATAAATCACATAAGAGCTAGTCCTTCAACACATACTATAGACCATATTACAGGATGTACCAACTGTCGTCGTGTTTTAGATTAAATTATGTCTCTAACAGGCAGGTTTCTGTAGGACTTAAGGAGAACTTACAATCATATGAACCCATCTTCAAACTCTTTTAGTTCTGCTATGAGAACTAATGTCAAAAACATATGCAGAAGAAACTATTCCCATTAGAATCTCATCACTATGTAATCCTTAACACGCTTGCTACTTTAGGAGGATAAAGCTGTACAAAATGCACAATCATCATCCTCAGGCTACTTTAGAATCCCACGAATTGCTAACTCAGAGAATATCCATACAGTTCATACATCATCATCTGGGAACACTATGGAGTAAAGCAGAGAAGCAAGATTTAACAGTAAGCAAAATAAACCAATGACGTTTAACTGAGATTTTTATAAAGCTTTAAGTTTTCTTTTTGTTTAAGTTCAAAGACAGCTTTATTGAAACAGCAACTGTCCTTTGAATACAATCAAGATATTCTGAGCAAATACATCTCTTTTCATAAACACAGACAGGTAGAGAAACCCCATAAAAGGTCCTCATACCAAGCATTAACTAAGGTTTTTTTCTACAACTGACAAAAAGCAAAGACTGAATATGAGAAAATGCCTTTAAGCTTTAAAATAACATTGCAATATTTCAAAGTGTGGTGTTTAAAAACAAAAAAGCTAGTCACCAATACTGTTTTCTTATATATTATGCTAAATAGTCAGGCAAACCAAAAAGGTTCTTCCTCCTCTCTGACATGTTGCTATGAAGCAACACTGACATGTGACTGAGAGTCAAATGAAAAAACCACAAAGAACCACTCTCCCCCTTAATTAACCTACAAATAAAATAAGAGAAAGAAAGTAAAGAACAATTATTTCCAAATTCAAAAACAAAACATGTTAAGAGCTTTGCAAAGATACCAACTTGATAACTACAACACATAAAAGTGAAAACTGATATTTACACATTTTAATCAACCAATTTAATACAAATACCTGATTTGTACTTTTATACTAAATGGGTTAAGTCCCAAGTTCCAAACTGTAGTTCCTATGACTCCACAAAGGGGATCTTTGGAAGGATAAGGTACCTTTGGAGGACAGTGTATAAACAACTGTAAACATACACTGATTGTCCACTAGCTTTCTTAAATAGAACTTCTGAGATATTTCTGTAGGAAATTATATATACGTAGTGTAATTGATCAGATAATTTCTATTACAACATATAAATTCTGTTGTGTGTGCAAAATGTGGTAGAAATAGAAGATACTAGGAATAATTCATATTTTTAAAGTAAGTGATACATTACAATCCAGTAAGAGTCCTTTAATCTTTTCATGAAACTTCTCTCTATATATGTTGAAATACATAATGCTTTCTGGCTTTTCTTCAAACCAAAATTTGTCAAATTCATATACAAGATAACCTGTAGTTAAAAAACAAAAACAAAAACAAAACACATAGTGCTCAATAGTGACATCCAAACCATCTCATTGTAAAAGTATTTAAACATCCATTGAATTCCATAGTCTATAATAATCATAAGTCATCGGAAACTACTAGAAACCTGAGGCATTTTAAAAGAATGTTCAAAATAAACAGCAATTTCAACAAAATCCCTCAAACTTAAGAGATAGAATACTGTCAAATGATACCTTGAGAATAGGAAAAAAAATTATTCCCAGAGACCCCTGAAACACAAAAATGAAAGTAACAAGAAAATGTTGGACAAGGATAAATTACAAAAAAACCTCTTTTCTATTTGATTTCTAAAATTCAGAGATATTTCCACTTTTTTCCAATGAATTATCAGCAACTTCTCTTTTTAAAAAGAATACATAAACTATATGCCCACCCAGCATGGCTCAGTGGTTGAGCTTCGACTTATGAGCCAGGAGGTCACAGTTTGCGAAACAAGAAAATGTTGGACAAGGATAAATTACAAAAAAACCTCTTTTCTATTTGATTTCTAAAATTCAGAGATATTTCCACTTTTTTCCAATGAATTATCAGCAACTTCTCTTTTTAAAAAGAATACATAAACTATATGCCCACCCAGCATGGCTCAGTGGTTGAGCTTCGACTTATGAGCCAGGAGGTCACAGTTTGATTCTCGGTCAAGGCACATTCCTGGGGTTGCAGGTCCAATCCCCAGTGTGGGGCGTGCAGGAGGCAGCCAATCAATGATTCTCTCTCATCATTGATGTTTCTATCTCTTTCTCCCTCTCCCTTCCTCTCTGAAATCAATAAAAATATATTTTTAAGAAAATACATAAGCTCTAAATAGGCTTAATATTTTTATTTTTCTGTCCTCATTACAGTAGCTAATTTAACCCTGAACATGTTAAAAGTATTTAATGCAAATAAATATTAAAATAAATATATTTATAACAAAAAGTCTGAATTTAAAATCACTCATAAACCCTATTTAAATTGAACCTATAATGACTTTTTTACTCCAGGTATTACTTTGTTGCTCATCCTAGACCCGAGCCAAACAAGATGCTTGTGTTGAGGGCACTTGGGGTCCACAGTAGCCAAAGATGCTCCAGTTACCCATCTTCATGGGAAGATGAATAATGGAGAAAGAAATGGATAACTGAAGGAACAGAGTCTCTGATAAGACTTCCCACAGAAGGTCACATCTAAACTGACATTGACGAGATGACTATGAGAAACCTGGGAATAATGGAGGGAGCAGGAACTGTTCCAGGCTGGGTGAAAGGTCCAGAGTCATGAGAGAGCATGACATACTTGTGCAAATAACAGAGGACGTGTGCTTAACCTTTAGTCTGCGGGGAGCTGGTGTGTGGCAGATGAGTCGGGAGAGGAGATCAGGCATGGATTATGCAGGGCCTTGTCGGGGATCCTTTTGGAAAGTTGTAGGCAGTGGGGTAGAATGACTAGATTTCCATTTTAAGTAACTAACACCCTCAATGTGGAGAAGAACCAGAGGGCATCACAGAAAGACTGGTGAAAAGGTGACTACAGGGACTTAGTAACAAAGGCCTGAGGTCACACAGTTACAGCGGGGATGGGGAACAGTAGATGAACACAGAAGAAATTCAGGAAGCAGACAATCCTGGAATTAAGGATTAAATAAAGAGGGGGAGACTGTGGGAAAAAGAGACCTGGATGACACCTTCAAGCATGGAGTTGAAGTTATAATTTGGCTGTTTATACCAAAGTAGTTTTCTGCCAACATGCAAATGACATTCTAAAGACACAAAAAGATCAAGAAAAGTAGAGCATAAAAACTAAGCTGGATTTGAATTCTTTGCTTCTGAGAAATATCTTCTGAAGATGGAGTTTATGCAATTAAATCGTCAATGTTCAAATGTCATCAAAATAAAAGTTAATGGAATAATGGTAATATGACTGCTTGAGGGAAATCTGTTAAGTAGCCCCAACCAAAACAAGACAACCTGGACTTGAAATAAGTGGGGGGAGGGGGGAGGAAAGGATTGGAAAAGATGTTTTTAAATTGAATTTCCTTACAAGAGTAACAAAATAATCTGCAAATAGTCAATAGCATTCATTAAGCAGTATTCAAGAGGGAAAGTTCATTTTATAGTTGATTAAAAGATGGATACCTACAGAAAACTGCATAAACACTACATTTGCATACATGTGAAAAAATTGCCTCACTGAATATTTTTAATCAGCAAATAAAGAAACTGAAATACAAAATACTTCAGGGAACTCATCTTCCATTATTTTCCATTTTTCCAAAGATCCTAAATAACAAAATGATAGAGGAATTATACATTATGTCTTCCTAATGATTTAAAAATTCTCTTAGAATTATCTCCTTTTAATACTCACAATAAAACTGATGAAAGTGTTCCATTGTTGGTACACCAGGAATCAAGTTGTAGAGATGAAATTTCAAAGCTTCACTCTTCAGTAAGCTATAAGCCATCTCTGTCAGATTGATTCCAACTATTGCATAAGAATACCTATGTCAGAAACATTATTAGTTATACTAGCTAGCCAAATAGCTCATAAAATAAATTTGAAATTATGCAAGGAATTAATTGCTTTGATTCATTTCTAACACAGTACTGTTTTTACAATAATCTCTACATATTAAGAAAAATAATCAGAATAGATTTTAAAAATTTGTTTTTTAGAGGCTGTTGATGTTCTGGATATAACTGAAGAAATAAAAATAAAGCTCTGGTCATACGAATATCTAAAACCAAAATCCTTAAAAAACTAAAAGGAGTACTATACTAATATTTAAAGAGCCAGGGTCCGTCACGACCTAAAACGTCTGGACAGACGACTGAACACCAGGCTAGGGTCCTGGCTGGCGCGGCGGATGTCAGTCCTGGGTCCCGGCCACCCGCGGCGGGAGTCAGTCCTGGGTCCTGGGCCCCGGACGCCCACGGTGCGGTGGCGGGAGGGAGCTGTGGGAATGGAGCCATGCTGCCATCAGACTGGCCTCTGGGTCCCTCCCACCGCCCACAGGCCTGGGGAGAGCCATGCTGCAATGGGACTGGACCCTACCCGCGGGGTCCCGGATTGTGAGAGCATGTAGGCTGGGCTGAGAGACCCCCCTGAGTGCACAAATTTTCGTGCACCGGGCCTCTAGTTTATATTTATATATATATTCTCATTGATTTCTAAAATACACTGGGTAATCTGACTTTTCTCTTTTATTATCAGGATATTTATTTTTATGATGTAATATTGTTATAATGTTTTTTAAAAAATAGGTATCACTGGAATATAAAAATAAAATATTATATGATAAAGCTAATAATCTGACCTCAATTTGCATTTCATGGCACAAATTTCAAAGCTATTTCTCATATTCCTATTCCTATTTCAAAACTATTTCCTATGTCTATTTTCAAATCTATTTCTCAAAAAATCTTTATAAAGGTCCTTTATCCCCATTTTTAAACTAAATCTTGTGATGAAAAATATTTAAATACATACAAAATTGGTATGTGATCATATGCAGCCTTAAAAATAATGTATCATGCAATATCCTTTAAAGTTATTATCAGTTAAAATAATCTTTTAAAAAAAATAACTCGAAATACTTTCAAATCAGATGATCTAACCAACTTAAATTAGAGAGCTTACAGTTTCTTTAATACATCTGGCTTACCCTAATTTTGGATGATTTGAACGGGAAAGAATCTGATGAGCTTCCCTGGTATAATTTTCACTGAAGTACCTAAAAAAGTTTATGAAAAATAATGAAATTAACAGAAGTCATTCAAATTGGAGCTGCCCAGAAGCAATTTTAAAAAGTTACTGTCAAAATGATATTCCTAGTACTGCCACAATCATCCCAATCAATTTCCATCCCAAATCATATCAGTGACTCAGAATGCTTTTGAATCAATCAAAATTTAATTCTGAACTATCAGGCCTCTCTAACACAGGCCACAGACCCTGGACAAGGCTTTAAGATTCTTTTTAACATATAAGTGAACTAACAAAAGACCTTATACCTACTTTTAAAAAAGTCTAGAGTTCTTTTTGTTTGCTCTAAATTTTCTATAAAATAGTCAATGCGCACCTATTAGGACATTCTTCCTTTCACGTGGGCTTATTCCTTCTATGGCAACTTAAGTCTGTATTGTTTAATACTACTTTCAGTGCAATTAGAAGAATGTCAATAAACTCCATTTTGCACTAAAAAATCCACCTTTGATCTGTGGTATAACTAAAATTCTGGCCATAAAACACAGAAGTATTAGGAGAAACAGATAAAGCTATCTCTTTGTAGGCTCATCCATCCTGTTGGCTTGAACTCATGCAACCTCTGAATTCTTAAATGTAGAGAGACCAAATCTGTTCAACTTTAAAAAAATATATATATATTTTAAATATATTTTATTGATTTTTTACAGAGAGGAAGGGAGGGGGATAGAGAGTCAGAAACATCAATGAGAGAGAAACATCGATCAACTGCTTCCTGCACACCCCCCACTGGGGATGTGCCCGCAACCAAGGTACATGCCCTTGACTGGAATCAAACCCAGGACCCTTCAGTCTGTAGGCCGATGCTCTATCCACTGAGCTAAACCGGTTACGGCTAAAATATATTTTTATTGGTTTCAGAGAGGAAGGGAGGGGGATAGAGAGTCAGAAACATCAATGAGAGAGAAACATCGATCAACTGCTTCCTGCACACCCCCCACTGGGGATGTGCCCGCAACCAAGGTACATGCCCTTGACTGGAATCAAACCCAGGACCCTTCAGTCTGTAGGCCGATGCTCTATCCACTGAGCTAAACCGGTTACGGCTAAAATATATTTTTATTGGTTTCAGAGAGGAAGGGAGGGGGATAGAGAGTCAGAAACATCAATGAGAGAGAAACATCGATCAACTGCTTCCTGCACACCCCCCACTGGGGATGTGCCCGCAACCAAGGTACATGCCCTTGACTGGAATCGAACCTGGGACCCTTCCCTCCATAGGCCGACGCTCTATCCTCTGAGCCAAACCAGTCAGGGCCTGTTCAACTTTTGAATAAACTCATAGTGCACTAGGAGTCATACACATGGACATATATGATGACTGACTGGATGTTGATGAAGATTTACATGTTTTATTTAAATTTTAGAGCACAATCACTGAAATTTTCATAAAGTATACAAATTTCTAATCAGATTTTCCCTTCTCTACTTTTCCTCAATTGTACCATAATGTAGCTCAATTTCAGGACTAATTTCTTTATAGTAACTATATGAACCTTGTTAATCATTAGGGTTCCCATTCCAGGTATTTTGCAGTCTATAAATCACAATTCAAGGATAGACCCACACACCAGAATCTCTTCATCTGCATACCTTATAGGAGAAAAGTAATCTTCCAGTCTACTTTCTAGAATATTTCTGGCTATCAATTGTGATTTTAGTTACATATTTTGCAATTTCATATATATGTGCCCAAGCATAAGTGTTAAAGAAGAAAAGGAGAGAGACTCCATACAGATTCTAAAAGCCTGGGGTTTAGATCACTTGCCACATATGGTAAAGAATAAGTGTAAAGAGACTTCATTATCATTTTATCTGGTTACATTTCCCAAAATGGAATCAGACAGCCAAAAGGGGAGAGGCGAGAGGGTCAAAGAAAGTAATAAAAACCCAGTCAGTGTGGCTCAGTTGTTGAGTGTTAGCCCATGAACCAGGTCATGATTTGATTCCTGGTCAGGGCACATGCTCGGGGTTGCCGGCTCGATCCCCAGTGTGGGGCTTACCGAAGGCAGCCAATCAATATTTCTCTCTCATCCATGTTTCTATCTCTCTATCTATCTCCCTTCCTCTCTCTAAAATCAATCAATCTCTCAATCTCTCTCTCTCTCTCTCTCTCTCTCTATATATATATGTGTGTATATTAATAAAAGAGTGTAAATAATTCCGTAGGAGGTATCAGAAGGGAGGCCAGAAAGAGAAAGGAAGAAGAAAGGTATTGGTAAGTAAAGAAATCACACACACATACATGAGTACATTTCCAATGTCTTCCTATTGTTGTCAACACATTAGTAAATACTTTTAGCACTGCAGCTATTAAAGTTTAGAGATAGTAGGAAACTAAATTGGAGATTACATGTAATTTCATTTAGAATAGAAAAGAAAGTTTATTTTCACTTACACAAGGTTGATTAATCCAAGTATGCCCATGCCTCTGAAGTCCGTTTTGGGATCATCACCCTGGAAACCAATGTCAGCCCATTGCTTGGAGATTCTAGCCTTCAATTTTTTCGTGGGCATTAAAAGATTCCAAAGCTGTACAAACATGCTTCCATATTACAAATAATAGTGATATTCTTAAGTTACCAAGATTTTTTCTTTCTCATGGCTGATATAACTAGTAAATTAAATGCTTTCAATTAAACAACTTTTGTAGACAAATTATAGGTTTGACAAAGACTATGTTTAGAGAACTTTTCAATTATCACAAAAAATGCAGTATATTTATTCCAACTTAAAAGACTTAAAAATTTTGAAACAAATACACAGAAATCTAAAACAATGAGATGTCTTTATTTGCTAAGTAATCTATATATATAAAAGCCTAAGCGACTGGATGATCGACGACCGGCCGGTCGCTATGACACGCACTGACCACCAGGGGGCAGACGCTCAATGCAGGAGCTGCCCCCTGGTGGTCAGTGCGCTCCCACGGCGGGAGCGCTGCTCAGCTGACCAACGGGTGCCAGACGCCTTGCTCATGGCTGGCGAGCACAGCTGTGGTGGTGAGAGCTTCTCCCATGGACACTCCCCTTGGGCGCCCGAGTGCGCACCAGGCACAGCTCAAGCTCCTCCTTGGCCACCTGCCACTTCACGCACTACTTCATGCTGTGAGGGATTGAAGCAGACAGCGGCCTGGAGCCTGAGGAGCTGGTGGGTAAGGCGGGGCTGTGGCAGCGCGGAGGTCCACTGATCCCGATCCCTGCAGGCCAGGCCGAGGGACCCCACTGGTGCATGAATCTGTACACCGGGCCTCTAGTACATATATATTATATAACAGAATTGGTAAACTACTTCCATGAGAATAGTGTTATGTACTTGGCCCTTTCCTCTGATACTATATATTTAAGTAGGCTCTATTCTAAGAGTGGGATTATGAAGAAGTAATACAGAGAGTATTCCAATCCATATGATTACTATCTTATAAATTTTCATAGCTTTAATTTTTTGTGGGACCTCTTCCTTAAGTCTACTACGTCACTTCTAAAGATTGCTAATAATTTTTCTTTAGCATTTTTAGTGCCAGATCTGTACTCTCATGTTTTTTACTTTAAGATCTTTATCTAGGCAATCATAATTGTTAACTGTTTCATTTATTCTATCTTCCCTTTGGCCTTTCTTAGTTCAGTTAAATGGAATTGCCTATGGTCTTTCCTCTAATCCTATTTCTTAATGGCCAGTATCTTAATTTTATTCTCTCAATAATCTCACTGAAGGTTTTCCTAGTTAAGGAATAGAAACTTGAATACTCTAGGACTTTCCCAGTAGAACTACTTGACTTGAATATCTGAACCATTTAAAGGAAAAACAAAGGTGCAATATTTAATATCAATATGCTTTTTGGTTAGTTTCTATGATTTGTTTAATTAATGAGATTAGGAATTCCTTAATCAACTACCCTGCTCCCAAAATGGGGAGATTTACCAGTTAGTTGCATGTGAACTACTGTGTTTCCCCCCTCTTGGTTTTTCTTTTTACTTTTTCAATTGAATTTATTGGGGTGACATTGGTTAATAAAATTACAATGGTTTCAGGTGTACAATTCCATATTACATCATCTGTCTATTGTGCTGTGTGTTCACTATCCCAACTCAAGTTTCCTTCCCTCTCCATTTATCTCCCCTAAACCCTCTTCTATCCCCTCCATGCTTCCTTTCCCTCTGGTAATCACCATACTGTTGTCTGTGTCTATGAGGGTGTTTTGCTTTAAAAGAAAGAAAATAATATGACTTGGTTTTAACTGAATATATTCCTTAAAACTGAGATAAAACATCAGGCATCTATCATAACATAACATAAGACAGCTTTCAAGTGTTAGATAGCAACATAAAGTTTAAAATACTTAATCATTTTCTAAATTTGACACCACACATCATCAAATAAAACAGACTCACAAAATTGATAAGTTTATGAAAATCTGAAAACAGAAATACGTGTTTTTTTGTTTGTTTCACTACCACTTCAGGCATTGTTGAATAAAGGGCTCCTAATAAAAGTATCCTGCTACCCAAAATAAAATGCAAAGACCTGTGACCCTGCTTTAAAACAGGGCAAGACTCTGCTGGCTCTGAAGCTAAATCAGTGATTAGAGTGGGTTTTATCTGGTCCTTCTTCAAATTACTAACAGATTTCCCTTTACATATTTATAATCTATTTCAGAATTAAAAGCATTTAAAATAACATTTATTTGAATATACTTTAATGATGCTTACCAGAAAATTACAAAAAGAGTTAACTAGAAATCTGTCACCAACAGAACAAAATTCTCTAAGGGGCAATGACACTGGATGGCTGTCCAAGCCTCGAGAACTTGCACACAGGCCTTACTAGCTGATTTATTTTTGCAGTGCTCACTAACTCCAAATGCAGAAAACAAAACTTACCTTGAGAAGCAGCTTTTCATGTTGCAGGTTATCAGAATCATAGGGTTTTTTTCTCACACTTTCTACATCCAAATAGAGCTGTCTGTAACCGGATATCTGCAGTAAGCATGCCTTCATGCAGATTTTAAAACTGAAAATAACAAAATTATTATAAAAAAATCATTCCTTCACAATAACGTAATGCCTTCCATAGCTTGTGGTTCATAAGTCTATTTAGAAACCATTTCCTAGCTTTCAGTTTAATACAATAGGCATCAATAGCCTCCTTAAACACGAAACTTTATATAAAGTATCAGGAAGCGTATAATAAATCAGGATCTAGAAAGAGGACAAGACATGGTAGGAAGCGCAAGCTTGGCAACTGTGTCTTCTTTTCCTGCTTTTCCTGGGCAATCTCATACATTCCCAAATCTTTACCGCCAATTATCACCAACAGACCGAATTTTCCAAGAATACGTATATAACAAACAAGTCCAGGACAGGTGATCTCAGTTCTCCCAAATACAGCAGCTTGTCCTCCCTGAGGAAACATGCTTTCTCTTAACAAGTCGCTAACCCTATTAATGACCTCACTAATCATTAGTTCCCCAAGCTAGAACCCTCCGAGCTCTGACTTTCCTCTCTGCACCAATACATCAAAAGATCCCCAACCCTCATCCTTTCTGTCTCTGAAATGTCCCTCATAGCAATCATCATATATTCATTTATGCTGATATATTTATAGCTTTGTCATCTCTTAGCTGAAGGAGTCAAGTTTCCTAACTGTTCTCTCTTATTCCTTCTGCCAGCCTCCCACATCCCCAAATTTCCCATCATTTATTTTCTTCAAAATACGTATCTTATAATATGGCTTGTTTGCTTAAAAAAAGAAAAAAGAAACCCAGAGAACAACATCTGCCCCTCAGTGTGAGATGTAGTCCAGCACTCCATTCCTCCAAACACCACTCTGCACGAGTTCAATGCCCCAGCTACAAAGACTCCCGATCATTCCCAGATACTGCAGCGCTTGTGCCCAGGTGGCATTCTTCCTCTGCATGGCATGTCCTCCCTACCCATTCAATAAGGTCCAGCTCAAATGTCACCTCTTCTGTGGCACTATCCTCACAGTTCTTTCCGGTACCCTTCCCTGTTCCAGCCAAAATAAATTGCTCCTGCCCTGACTGGTTTGGCTCAGTGGATAGAGCGTCAGCCTGTGGACTGAAGGGTCCCAGGTTCGATTCCAGTCAAGGGCATGTACCTTAGTTGTGGGCACATCCCCAGTAGGGGGTGTGCAGGAGGCAGCTGATCAATGTTTCTCTCTCATCGATGTTTCTAACTCTCTATCCCTCTCCCTTCCTCTCTGTAAAAAATCAATAAAATATATTTTAAAAAATTGCTCCTTCCTCTGTATTTACACAGAAAATGCTGAAAAAAGAATAAATTGCTGAATACTTACAAGTCAATGTACTGGTCCTGAGAACTCAAAAATGGAATAAGTCAAGTCCTTCTCTTATGGAACTTAAAATTTATTACGGAAGAACAAGAGTAAATCAATGATTGCAGTACAATGGCTTATGCTATGATGGAGAGCTCTGTGACAGGACAGAGCAGGGGCCCCTAACACAGCGGCCCCCTGGAGAAGGACAGAGCAGCTGAATTTTGAAGGAAGAAGGACATAGCAGCTGCAGTTATGTCACTCTGGGAAGGTAATGGTAAGTTACCTTAAAGAAGGCAGGTGGTAAATAGGCAACAGTACTGGGCAGGGAACCAAAAGATACAGGCGTTAGATCTGTTTCTGTCACTCTCCTCTCTGGACCCCCTGAAAGCAGGGAATCAGATGCTCTCCACAGCCCTTTCAGCGCTAATGCTTTCCAACTGCGTGTGATCACCACATTCACAGGATGTAGGCGCATCATAAAAAAGAACACTGCCAAACAGCATACCTGACATCCTTCTCCGGGTTGATATTCTTTTCTCTCATTATATCTTCTATGCACTTGTCCACTTCACTCTGAGCAACAAGTGTTGCTTTCTGTAAAACCTATAGATGTGATAAACAGCTGACTGAGAAAAATCCCCCACCGAAAAAGAACAGTAAATTTTGAGGTATTTAGTCAACTCTACAATGCAGATTTTAAATGCAAACCGAAACAAAATTTGTTTCAAATTTTCAGTAGGGCTTAAATCACTCAACCAATTAATTAACTGAAAGAGAAGCAACATGTTTCAGATGAAGACTTCCTTAACTGAAAATGAACAGGTTCTCTTAGCGAATGAGCTACCACCACAGTGTGTTTATGCAGTAGACACTTTTTATAAAATTCAAAAATTACATAAAAATATATGCATAAAAATTTTAAAGGCAGAAGTCAGAAAATTTTTAAATGCAGAAGAACACAAAGAAGAAAACGCAAATAATCTTGTAATCTTACCACCAGTGATAGCCACCGGTAACAGATTAGCATATATGCCTCTGGTCTTTGTTCTATGCATACAAAACAGATTTCTTAAATAATACAACCTATAAATGTCCATTGGATCCTTCCTTCCATCAAACAAGTAAGTGCATAAGAACCTATCCTAAGGACACAGTCTAAAAGAATGTTTTTCCCCAAGACTTGCTTCCCCCAAAACTATCGAGTCTTGAGACAAAATAAACAAGCAAAACTTAAGAACAGGACAAATTATTCAAATACCTTCTTTGTGCATGAATAGCACGCGCGCACGCAAACACACGCACACACACGCAGAGGAAATATTTTAAAAATTAAAAATTACTTCTAAAGTGGGAAAATTTCACTCAATACTTTATACAGCAAAGACTCTTCTGGTAGGACATTAATAAATAATTCTAAAATTGAAGCATCCTTTTAAAGGAAAAGTTATCTCGCAATTAAATTTTCTGGAATTATCACCTCGATATGATCCTACCTTATTCTTGGAGTACATCAAGGAATTTTCTGAAATGAAAAAAAAGGACGTTATCCCTTCAATACTGTTTGTAAATTACTCCATAGTCAAAGAGTATAAATATCAAGTCAATAATACATTACTTTCTAGAAGGTAGTACTTTTACTTGAATAACATAGCAAACATTTAAAAATTTCATCCTTACAGTATCCTTATAGACAACTAGATGATTCCAAAATCCTTAACCCAACACAACATACCACAGCCACAGAGGTGAGGCCGACCTAATTTACCCAGTCATCTGTTTCTGTGCAGACCTCCAAGTGTACTAACCACTGCAAATTCACACATGGCTACCTCGGAACAGCTCCTGTCCCAGAAACTCGTGGTAAGACTAAAGTGAGAGTGCTCTCTACTACATTTTCTTCATTTGTTAGCCTGAAGGAGTAAGCATTTCCATTTCAGGAGCTAGCAACTGAATCAAACAACAACACATTGGCAAAAATGAAAAGACTTTAGATTATTTACCCATCCTCAAACCAGACAAATAGCAAAACAGCTTCTTCATTCTTGTTTTCTATTTCAATAAGAATGAGTAACATTTTTATTGGTTTAGTGAACAATTTTTTCTGGCACATTTGCTTAAAGTTTTTTTCTTAGCAATTTGAAATATTCCAGAAAAATGCTTTTGCCACAAAGTAAAGCATTAACGTATGTCTCCCCCCCCCCCCCCCCTATAAAACATCAATGCTGCCAAGATTTCTTATCAAGAGGTACTTTGTTCTCAGAACAGTTAAAAGGGCAAATCAAAAGAGCAGGCAATAATTTAAGTCAGCCACAAAGTTGTGAGAAAAGTCAGGAAGTAAACAAACTTCAATCATCCAGCTGCCCTGAGGCTTACTCTCTTTATGTCTGTCATCCTTTCATGTTGCCTTGGATACCAACACCCACTCCCCAAATCTTACAGGTGTGGATTTCTTAGCTGAAGCACCCTTGCTTAATTCAAAGAAAGCCTGGTTAAGTCATGGTTTTCCTTTCAACACAGTGAGCATCAACTGCGGCTGATCGCTGGCCGTCTTTACCCTGGCCAAAGAGAAACGACCTCCACTGTATTTGTCACTCATCTGTGTTCTAATTTAAAGTAATATTTTCAATTATGCATTGAAAGCTGATGAACTTCAAAAGGTACTAGAGCAGTTTGTTCAACAGAAACATAATGCAAGCCAAAATGTGTGCCACACATGTACTTGAAAATCTTCTAGAGCAGCCACATTAGAGTAAAAGAAACAGATAAAATGCATTTTACTATTTTAAACCAACATATCCAAAATATATTAAACCAATATACCCAAAATATTTCCACATATAATGAATATGAACAATTACAACCTTTGTTTATATGAAGTCTTTCAAACCCAGCGCATAGTTTATACTTCCACTCAAATCACATTTCAGGTGCCCAATCGCCGCTTGTGGCTACTGGCTAGCTAGAGTACTAAACAGTGCATGTTTTGACTCTAATAATGATTCCTAGGGATCACTGTATACCTAGTATTGTCCTTTCATGAATTACATAAGAGATTAAAAGACTGATGAAGGATGCTGAGTATAAAAATGGATGTAGATAGAGATACTCTTTCTCATCACTTGGATGAAAATTTCAAAGGGCTTATAAAAGTCTAGAGATTTTTCTCTAAGATATAGGTAATAACTATAATCTAAGGCACAACTAATGAATTTCAGAAGCCAGAGAAAATAATTGTTCGCACAGATGGGAAATTAAATAATAATCCCTTTCTTTTTCTGCAAGGCCATGTAGTTTTAGAGCTGAAAGGATTCAATGCTAGATTCCAACGATTATAAAACTGAGTTTAGGTGACTTGATCAAGACACACAATGAGTGCATGTCACTGAATATTGAGAAAAAAATATTCATTCAGAGTAAAAAATTCATTAGTTTTAATTATTCTTTTTCAAATAACATTACCTATCCTGTGTGTCCTTTGTGCACCTACATAGGTATCAAAAATTCGCTGCAATTCACACTTTCCAGTCATCTGTCGTAAGAGCCATTTCATCCAAAATCGAAAAAAGTGCCCATAGAAGAAGTCCCACAAAGAAATAAACATTTTTTTTTCCTGGAGAAAGAAATATATGACAGGTTTAATTACCTTAAACTGGATTTTAAAATGGAAAAAAAAATTAGTTTATCCAACTTATCAAATCTCAAATTATAATATCTATTATGCTATACCACTGTAGAAGTGTTTTAGGAATCTAAGGAAACAATGACAGGTGTAATATATACTATTTAGATTAAATGATGGCTGGTCAAATGGCCAATTTATCACTTGTAAAAATAAAATAACTGTCAAATCACAACTACTTAAAGCTCTCAGTTCCCTATTTTAATTTTTCATTCTTTGAGATTTGGGGCTCAACAGTTCACGAACAAAAGGAACCCAACTAAACAACAATTAAATAAAATACCCCATGTATCAGAATTGTTATTATAAGGAATAAGCTTTTCTTAATCCCTTGTGGATGATTCCAGTTACATCTATTCCTGTCAGGTGATGCCAACAAATAAAAACACTACACATGGCTTACAAACTTAAGTACATAAAAAAACAAAACAAAACAAAAAACAAACACTTAGGTACACAAGTTGAGCACCGAGTAGATCAAATCCTGGCTAAGTCTTGATTTTCCTTCCAACAGGCGAAGGACTGATTACTAAAGAGGGAAATGAACTACGCCCTCAATAAAACGGAATCTTTATGTCATAAGACAAACCTTCAGCTCCTAAATGAAGCGCGATGGGGGCAATGCAAGTGAGTAATTACTTAACAATAAACAAAAATGCTCATCTCCTTCCTGCCTTAGACATTCCCACTTATACATCCTCTCTAGACCAGGGCCTGTGAGATTGTCAGTTTCGAAATCCCCGCAGGTCGGAGCAGAAACGGTGCTCATCGGAGATGGGCTGAACTGGAACGTGAACGCGACCCATCTGGTCCGCGCTCATCGAGACAAAGGAACTGCCAAGCGGAGGCAGAGCAAGCCTCGCGGCGCCTGAGCTCCCCAGACGTGGGGAGTCGCTGCGCCGAGG